AGGGGGCGTGTCCTTTCCGGGCGGCTTGGGCCGGGAGGGTCCCTGTCAACTTGCTTCATTGAGCGGGTGGCGGTGAGGAAGTGTTGCGCTCCCTGTGGGGCGGGCTCCACCTGCCTGCGGTTAGATGGAGGATCACTTTGTTCCGAGAAATCCCGGGCGTGCGAAGGAGGATGTGAAACGGAACGACCCGTTTCTGTGCGGTCGGCTTTGTTTATTTGCCTCCTCACAAGACGCCTCCTGTCCCTGACGCCACCGAACCCCAAGGGGCGGCAAACGGCTGCTATGACCGCTGCGGCCAGACGGGGTCGCCAGCTCCGTACCCAACGGGCCGGCCCCGCAGCACCAGGGATCGCCTGCCCCAACCGGGTAGAAGGCATATTCCTCTTTCAGGTGACCTATCTTTGGGGTTTTTGACGAAAAGGCGCCGATAGATACGTTTTAAAGCCCACAGACACCGTAGTAATTAATTGACTCAATACTTGTCGAGCGCCTATTGCGTGCCCGGCGTGTGCTAGGCTTCGGCTGCAGCTCTGACCAGCCCAGACACCCACCAGGCAGCGTGCAGGGCACCACATGCTCTCCTCTGAAATACATACCCCTCGAGACTCGGCCGTATTGTCCGGATTGTCAAATGCCTTTATGGTAGGTCCATCAATTGAATAGCTTGTCAGTGGTGGAGGAAGAAACACGTGAAAATCATATAATCACTGTCTTATGGGAAGGAAAGGCCCTGATCAAAATAAAAGAAAGTTAATTACGGCTTTATCCCCAACAGCTGGCAGAGAGAGAGAACACAATACAGCTTGCAAAAAGATGCTCTCGGCCTGTGGCCTGAAAAAAAACTGATTTAATTCCATAATTTGGAGGCTTTCTGGGTTGGAAAAGCCAACTATTAACCTTGCCAGACATGGAACCCTATAAAAATAGGAGCTGAGAGGTGGTAGTAATAGGTATATGGTTCCAAGCCTTTCTTAAACTCTTCTAAACCAAACTGAGTGACAATTAAATTCTTCTAAATCTATTCAACAAAGAATATTTATTTATTTATTTATTTCACAAACAATAGATTAAAGGTAGGATCATCACTGCAGGCTTATTTCAAATTGCATCAAGGTAGGGCCATTAAACTAAGGTGGAAATGATATGGACAGGATACAGAGGCTAATACAGAAAAGACAAGATTTTTCAGGCTTAAAAACTGATTTGAGGTGCTGTAACCAGTTTGGCTCAGTGGATAGAGCGTCGGCCTGCGGACTGAAAGGTCCCAGGTTTGATTCCGGTCAAGGGCATGTACCTGGGTTGCGGGCACATACCCATTGGGGGGTGTGCAGGAGGCAGCTGATCGATGTTTCTCTCTCATCGATGTTTCTAACTCTCTATTCCTCTCCCTTCCTCTCTGTGAAAAATCAATAAAATATATTTTTTTTTAAAAACTGATTTGAGGCAAGCTCTTCGTCATGCCTACTCATACATGGAATTGCCTTCGAAGCACGTTTAAATGGATTTTACTGTTTGCTTTTATTTATCTAATCTGTTTTCTTTCTTTTCACGCCCTCCTTTGGATTACCTACTTTTAATTGTATTTTTCCCCAACAGTTAGATTTATTTGCTATACATTCTTTATTCTTTTAGTAGTGTTTCAGTTATTTGTTGCTGTGTCCTAACCACCTCAAAACTTCATGACTTAACTCCTATTTGCTCAAGATTCCAGATTCTTTGGCTCAAGAACGCAGTTAGGCCAGAGTGCATGAGCCACACATCTGTTCCATGATCCCTTGGGCTTCAACAGGGGTGGCTCAGATGGTTGGGGCTGGCTCAAGGAGGCCTGTGTGTCTTGGGCTGTTGGCTAGATTCCCTGGTTTTTCTCTACATGGCTTCTCCATGTGACTAACTTGGACTCCCTCACAGCATGGTAATTCCAGGATCTCGAGAGGGAGCATTCCAAGAGAACAAGCCTCAGTGTGCAGGCCTGTGCTTACTAATGTATCATTGGCCAAAGCAAGTCACATAGCCAAGAGCAGAGTCTGTGGCAAGAGGCCATGAATATTAGGAGGTGTGGTTCATTGGGGGGCCATTTAGATTAAGGACAGATCAACTTAATCCAATTAGGGATTAATTAAAAGTTTCTTCTAGGGTGTAGCTCTTTGGGATTCCAACTTAAAATCTTTCCCCCCTCCGGGTCCTGAGCTCAAAATTTTCACCCTCCACTCCCCACCCCCGGCCCTTGAGAACTTCACAACCTCTCTACTGCTGCTTTCAGGACGTCAATTGCCTTAGAAGGTAAAATGGCACCAGATTCTGGACTCATTCAACACTCTTAGATCTAGTCTCTTCCAACTACTAAAGTTTTAATGCTCCAAAATGTACCCTCCACAATGTCCACCTCAGATGGGACTCCTGGAAGACAATAGAATAGGAAGATCCTCTTACAGAACAGAACCAGGAACTGACATATTAACTGACCAAGGGCATGGATTCCTTGCTATACCAGTAATTATCCAGCAGGATTTGATATTTCTATGGGCCAGAGACCACTGTGTCTCCCATTTTGCCCTTTCTTGAATAGGAGTTTTACCAACATTCTGTTCTTGTCTATCCACCATTGCTTATTAGGAGTGTTGAGGCAGATAAATTTTCTTTAAATATTGGTTGCCAGATCCACACTCTTGATGGGAAGTACCCCACATCATCAGAACTTCTGGATTCTGGGCTTGAGCTCATTGCAGTAACTGGATGAGACTTTGAGATTGTTTCTCTTAGGGAGGGGATGAGTGTATTCCTTATATGAAACGAAAGGGCAGACACAGCTTGTTGCCCTTATCTATTAGAAATATCCTGATACTTTAAAAAAATGTTTTTATTGATTATTTTAGAGAGAGAGGAAGGGAAAGGGATAGAGAGAAACATCAACGAGAGAACATGGATTGGCTGCCTCCTGCACGCCTCCTACTGGGGATCAAGCCAGAACTCAGGCATGTGCCCTGACTGGGAATTGAAATGGTGACCTCTTGGTTCATGAGTCAATGCTCAACCACGGAGCCACACCAGCTGGACTATCCTGATACTTTTGTGGGGGATGGGAGGAAGGATGGCAATGAGCTTAGCTAAAAAAACTCATTTCATTAGATCCCATACTGATATGGGTGGCCATGGGATATATTTCTAGACATATGGTGAAGATTTCTAGAAAAAAAACATTTTTTCTTAATATGTCTACTAACCACCTCAAAACTCCATTTTATACCCTTTTTTTCCTTCTAGAATGAGGGTGGAGGTGGACCTCATGACAAAAATGAAAATGAACATGATGTGGAAAATATGAAGATGGAATCTGCAAGATAGGGATGCTGAGCAGAAAGATAAGAGTTTGAGTCACTCGACATCTTGAAGCTGCTGCAGCAGTTCTAGACTGGCTACATCTGGAATTACTTTTATGCCTGAAAAACCCCAATTTGGTTTTCTGTTATGTGTAGCTAAAAATTTTCTCAGCTAATACATAAGCTATCATGTTGTCTTCCAACTATTCTTCCTGCTTGCAGGCTCTACCAGTTGGATAGTAATACGATATAGCATGTGAGAGATATAAAAGCTGTCACAAAGCAATACATCAACTCGTATAGCACTTTTTGCCAATTCTACACTTATACCAAATTATATGATTAAGAAACATGTTTATTAAAGAAAAAAATAGAAAGTAGAGAGGAGACCAAAGAATCTAAAGTCCCATTTTAACATTTTGCTATAGTTCCATCTTGTTTTATCTAAAGATTTTTTTCTATTGTAACCTCACTGTATATTCATATTTAACTTAACACTATATGATAACTTGCTTTTCATGTTAACACGTCTTTTAAACAAATAGCTGTTGAATATTCCAAATAAATATAAACAAGTTTTACTTAACTGGTTCCTTATCATTGAAATTATCAATTCACTTTTTTAAAAAAATGTTTGTATTGATTTTTAGAGAAAGAGGAAGGGAGAGGGATAGAAACATTATGAGAGAGAAACATCATCAATTGGCTGCCTCCTGCATGCCCCCCATTGGGGGTCAAGCCCGAAACCCCGGGCATGTGCCCTGATTGGGAATTGAACTGGTGACCTTTTGGTTCCTGGTCAACACTCAACTGCTGAGCCACACTGGCCGAGCTATCAATTCACTTTTTAAAAAATCATGTTTTCAATGAGTATCTAATACATTTAAGTCACTGGATTAAATATTGTAAGTACTCATACATGAATAACTGCCTCCTCTCTGAATGCTCTTCAAAACTTCAAAAGGTACACATATATACATGCAACATACAGTATATAGCATATGCATGTGTATACTTTCTATATGTGGCCCAAAGCCATTTAATATTCTTAAAATATGCTTATAGGACTGAAATATTCTAATTTCCTTTGCACATATTTCCTTTGTCACTTTCTGTTTTCCTTGTCTGCTGGATTTGCCTTAGCATTACTGGTCAGTAGAGTACTCCCAATGAACAACTTATTAATGTAAATGCCAAGACTACATACTTGAAATTTCAAGTGACTCAAGACCTCCCGTTTCCCTGCTCATGGACAGAGTACGTGCTATAAAGTACAAGTATCAATATCAGTTGCTTTCTGTTTTCGTAATTATTAGTAATAGTTATTTCCCCAACATCCTTCTGGTGCAAAGATAATCATTTCTGGTTAGTGTACCAAGAAGGAAACAGTAACTAACGTGACTCAGCGAGCACAGTGAAAGACATGAGATTTGAAAACAGAGGCCTTGGCTCTCAGCAATGCTGTACTGAGATTACATGGAGAATGCAGCCACACTGCATAAATGGCAGACTGACAATTCCTTATCTATGAGTGCCAAGTCCAAGCTATAATGTTTCCTGATGATGTATAAGGACAACTTATTCTTCAACTCAACAGAAGTTTATATGTGCATGTATCTAATATATCCAAAGTAAAGGAAAAGTCCAACTGTTATTATTTAGACAACTGAATGACTTGTTTTTAAACATTCTATTAATGAAAATTTTGTCTTGATGCTGTTACTATTGGGCCAACTCTAGGGACTTATTTAAACAAAGATTTCCTATTTCCTGGAAAGGGAGTTCTGTAGTTTTGGGATTCTAGGGCAAGAAAAGATTTGGCTGAATGTATTCACATCAAGTGGATTTTAAATATGGTGTTTATGGGAGAAGATTGGAAAGTGCTGCTAGAGAATATGTCAGAGCAACAAAAGGTAGAGAATTTATTTAATCAGCATGAATTAAGGGTGAATTAATAAAATGCTCAGGGCTGGTAGTGAGCCTGACATGAAATACTTTGATAAATGTAAACTTCAGATTCATGTTTTCATCAAGTGATAGAATATTCACTTTGCAGACCATTTCTGGGTTTTAAAAATATTTCTCAGTTATAACCACTTCTCTCATGAAACTCACTTCTCTCTGCCTCTGCTGAGGCAACAAGGTGCCTCTGTCTGGAAAAGATGAGGGTACAAGGCCTACTGGAAAATAAACAGGTAAAATATGAGTAGGATGGGTTCTAAAATGCATATGCCAGTTCACAAACTAAAGATGCTTCTTGACTTATGATGGGGTTATATCCTGATATAAGCTGAAAAAGTAAGTCAAAAGTACACTTAATACCCCTAATCTACCAAACATCATAGCTTATCCTGGCCTAACTTAACGTGCTCAGAACACTTACATTACCCTACTGTAGGGCAAAATCATCTCATTGCTGCTGTCCAGCACCATGAGAGAGTATTGTACTGTGCCGAGCCAGCTCAGCCAAGGGTTCGAAAGCCTGAGTGAGGGCAGCGAAAGGATGAAGAAATGACAAAGAGAATAAGCTGGGTCTAGGTGGATCTTCCTGTGCCTGGCTGAGGCCACAGAGAGATCCAGAGGCAAGCTGAGCCTTTATTTTATAGCCAGAGGTAAACAAGGTAGTGGTCACCATAGTTACAATGTTCTTATGAGTTTCACTTGTTTTGGCAGCACTTGCTACATCTCCCTCAGCCCATTAGCTTCCCAGATAAGATCTAGGGAGCATCATAAAGTCAAGCCTAATTATGCTAAGAGGACTGTGCCCTCTAAGCTGGGACTTGTTTGTGGCTTTGCCAACAGGTCAGTCGGAGGCTTAACCCTATAGCCGCGCCCTACATTGTACCACATATTACTAGCCTGGGAATAGATCAAAATTCAAAATTTGAAGTACAGTCTCTCCTGAATGCATATAGCTTTTGCACCATCATAAAGTTGAAAAATAATAAGTCACACCATCATACATGAGGACCCTCTATATTCTGTTTTTGTTTGACTTTTTAAAAAATATGTTTTTATTGATTTTTTAGAGAGAGAGGAAGGGAAAGGGAGAAAGAGAGAGAAACATCAATTGGCTGTCTCTTGCACACCCCCTACTGGGGTTGAGCCTGCAACTCAGACTGGGAATCAAACTGGTGTCCTTTTTTTGGTGCATGGGATGACGCTCAACCAACTGAGCCACACCGGCCAGGGCTGTATTCTATTTATCTAAGACTTGCATCTGTAAACTGCCTAATCACTTGCTGGACTATTCTTATCTTCACAGGATAGCTAACTGTGCTCTTTAATCCCCTTTAGTTTTGGACCTGTTTGTTGAATAATTCCCATAGCATATAAGCAAAGTGCTGTCTGATCTAACTGGTTTTGATTCTTTTTGAAAGGATTCTCTTAGAGAAGTCCCCAGATGTTTTCCAGACCATTCGTTCAGTTGATTCAGCACACATTTATGGGTGTGTATGTGCCAGGCACCAGTTATGCAATGATGACTAAGATAGTCCCTACTCTCAGTCATTTTCATATGGTGAAGTCTATGAACTGACTATCCAAGTCTCTTGGGAAAGTCTACTACAGATTCCCCAGCCCCACCCTAGAACTTCTGAGTGAAAATCTGAGAGGGCATGACCTGGCCGATGTGGCTCAGTTGAGAGCATCGGTCAGTGCACTGAAAGGTCAAGGGTTTGATTCCAGCTGGGGCGCCTATGGGAGGCAACCGATTAATCTTCCTCTCTCACATCCATGTTGCCCTTTCCCTCCCTCCCTCCCTCCCTCCCTCCCTCCTTCTCTCTTTCTCTCTCTCTCCCTTCCCATCTCTCTACAATTAATGAACATGTCCTCAGGTAAGTATTAAAAAAAATTCTGAGAGGGCAGCGAATTCTTCACTTTGAAGATGTTCTCTAAGAGCTGCTGCTTTAAGAGCTCACAGGTTTTTAAAACCCTTGGGGTTTGGGTGGGAGGGAAAGGAGACTTGGAGGGTGGCCAAATAGGAAAACAAATACACTATAGTGTGACAAATGCTATAATAGAGGTGTACCTGCATGGTGTTAGGAATATAATATAGAGAGGAGGAATTAAGCCTACCTCTATATTGTCAGAGGAGAGAATTATGCAGCAGATTTCTTGAAGTATCTAGGATTACTATACCTTAGAATGTTAAGAACCTCAGCTGTTTCTACTGGGAGTACACCTAAATTTAATAGAGGGGGGAAGGTTTTCTTTTTAAAAAAATGAATTCCCAAGTCGTTTTCAAGACAATCTTGAAAATCATGTGCAGAGATCATCCGAGTTAATAGCATTTCTAACTTGTGTGGATTTATCCTAAGGATATAATTAGAGTTATATGCAAAAGTTTGGTTACAAAGCTGTTCCCTGCAGCAAATAATTTGTGTCCAACTGCTCATTTTGATCAAATCCCAAACTCAGTTCTCTGTGAGACAATTTCCCTGTCCCCACTTCTTATACTGTCATGAGACATTTGGGGCTATAAATACTTTCTATTTTTGCTGCTTAGGCTCTGCAAAGCCAATACTCTGTAGTAAAAACTTTTTCCGGTGACAAAAATAGAATTTAGGAATTTAATTTATCATTAGCTCTGACTAGCCACACTGGGCAGGACTATGTGCATAGTAAACTCAATATGATGACTTTGCCAGACTGGACATCCCAGCCATTCACTGATGAGAGATGTTCCGATGTCCATCTGCCTTTCATCTCTGACTCCTCCACTAGGCAGATAGATCCCAGACCATAGATTTTCAAACTGAAAATCGTTTTTCCAGTTTCTATCAAAAGACAATCTCTCAGGTGGGGACTGTGTATTGAATAGGGTCTCTTATCTTTTCCTCCTGGTTTCCAGGAGAGCAATTGGCATTATCAGGTAGCTAATGACCCCATTCATTCAACACAGATTTATTGAGTCTTTGTGTTGTAGGTACTTCTTAGTGATAGGAATATGGCAGAAAACAAAACAAATGGTCAACTTTCACCAACATTCAAAAGGGGAGAGATAGACAGGTGGTATCAGGTACAGATGAAAACTCTAAGAAGAAAATATTGTAAGAGTGTGCAACAACATAATTTATCAAACAAGGACATTTTGAGAATAATTACTTATAATTACTATGTCAAGACAATACAGATGAAATCAGGACTATCCTGGAAACCTTATTCTAGGAAAGGCATGAACGAGTCCTGTGGGTAGGGGATGAGATACTTTTTAAAATTGATGTGCTGTTCAGGAAGGGCATTTTCTGAATGGAAACATTTAAGCAGAAGCCTGAGGAAGATTAA